AGAATAGAACTGTACTCTCATAGAGTGTTTAGTACCTATGATCTTTCATGAACAGATTGCTAGGTCTTTCTTCAGAAGTTCCTCGGGGTGGGCTCAAACTGCCAACCTTAATTTAACAACCATCAGATGACTCCTAGTGAAAGGAAAAAGTGCTGTCATATACCAGAAATGTGACATTCACTCCAAACAGCTGTCAAGAGAAGATATGGAAAGGACAAGCTCAAGGCCCACTGACTCATCCGGTAAAGATAAAAGGAGTAGTTTCAGACAGTTTATTATTTGAACATCACAAGTATCCCAAAGTTTAGTCCTTGAGGTCTTTCTCTCACACACCAAGAATGACAGCACCACAACAAAAGGGGCAGGATAATTGCAATAGGAGCCATGAAGTTGATGCTAGCTTGCCAGTGATTGGCCTTGGGATCTGTAGCTCTAGTTCTGAGGGGGATGATACATGGAACCTTAGAACTCTTCAGAACCTGGAGACAATGAGAAATTGTCTCAGGGAAGTCTCTCAAGGAAAATAATTAGGAGGCTAATATGATCTCAGTGTAGTTTCTTATCCTGTAAGGATCCTGGGAAGATCATTAGTGTTCTTTCAAGACTCAGATTAGCTGTGGTTCAAGTCTATGCCTTTGTGGAGTGCAAGGTCTTCTGAGGTGCCATGGTGGAGTGTTCTGTGCAGTAAGCAGTTGAGGACTCTGGTACTTTTCCCTGGAGTGGAAGTAAAGTTAATCAGGGTGTGTTGAGGAACTGCCTCTCTTTCTCCCATCTGCTCCAATCTTTCATTCTTCTAAGTCTATTCATGGTAGGGGAGAATGCAGGAATTAAGGGCATAAAAAGTGAATGCACAACAACTTGTTCAAGCCCTACAAGATTCAGTACCATGCATACCCATGTTTATCGCAGCTTTGTTCACAATAGCAAGGAGTTGGAAACAACCTACGTGTCCATCAACAAACGAATGGATAGAGAAGCTTTGGTATATTCACACAATGGAATACTATGCTGCATTGAAAAACAAGGGACTCATGCAATATTATTCAAGATGGGTGACCCTGGAGGACATTATGCTGAGTGAAGTATCTCAGTCACAAAAGGACAAATACTGCATGGTGCGACTGTTGTAGAATGGGACTGACATAAGAATTGGGTTAAGACTGAGAAAAACTGGATAAATTATGTATACTGTATTGAAACAGATGAGGGAGAACAATTTAAAAGCGATATATGATAGGGTATTATGGTTATCACAAGAGTCCAGAATTAAGGTTGCATAGTGGAGTGTACTCAGAGCGGTGTGCGGGGGGGATTGTATGCCAATGAAGGGATTTTTCTTTTACTTTCCAAAGAGACGAGTAAACTGGGAGGGGGGAGGGCTGAGCAGGGAGAAAATTGCAACAATGAATGAATGGAAATCCAAAATCTCTGTAAATGTTCATTAAAATAAATAAAATTAAAAAAAGGGAAAAAAGGATTCAGTACCAGGCTAGAAAATGTCAAGGCATAAGGCCCTTTGCTATTGAAGCCTTAATTTTTCAACTATTGATTTAAGTGCACAGTAATTTCTAAGATCCCTTCTTGCCCTTAACAGTACATATTTCCATAATGCAAATTTAGTGAAGGTAGTGTGGTTGTTGCTGTGTACTGTTGAGTTGAAATCAACTCATAGCTGACCCTCCAGTGGGTTTTCAGAGGCTGTAAGTTGAGCAGGAGAAGATTGCCCATTTTTCTCGTGCAGAGCAGCTGGTGGATTTGAATCATCCATTTAGTGGTAAAGAGTTGTGTTGCCAACCAAAAGGAACATGGTTCAAATCCACTAGTTGCTCCGCAGGAGAAAGATGGTCAATCAACTCCCATAGGGTTTACTGCCTATGAAAACTCATTGGAGGGTCAGTTAAGAGTTGGTTCTGGCTTGATGGTGCTTAACTACCACTGCCTTTGGGTTAGCAGTGTAACTCTTTACCAATGAGCCATCAGAGCACCCTAGAACAGGGAGTTACATAGCATTACTGTTACTTTTGAATCAACATCCAAAATAATTTGGTGATGTATGACTAAGGCACTGAATTGCTAACCCCACGGTCAGTGTTTTGAAAAGATAGGCAGTATCCTCTCAAAAAGATTTACAGCATCTGAAACCCAATGGAAGTAGTGGGTTTGGTTTTTGTAACTCAACCATAAAGAGCCAAGCTGTCTGATGATGGCTTTGTGGTAAGGAATTCTGCTGTCAACTCAAAAGTACAGTTGAAATCCACTGGTTGCTACATAGGAGAAAGATGGGCATTCAACTGCCATGTGATTTATTGCCTCTGAAAACCCGTGGGTGGGTCAGCTATAAATTGGTTCTAACTCTATGGTATACAACCACCACCAAAGGTCAGCGGTTTGAACCCACCAAGTGCTATGGGTAATTCTACTCCATCCTACAGTGTCACTATGAGTTGGAATTGACTTAATAGCAGTTGTTGTTAGGTATGGTCCAGTTGAGTATGACTCTTAGCAATCCCATGAGCAACAGATCTGAACCTCGCCCTATCCTGTGCCATCCTCATCATCTCTGAAATACTTGAACCCATGTTACAATTAACTGTGTCAAATAATCTTGTTGAGGATCTTCCTCTCTTTCAGACCCTGCCCACCTTTCCAAGTAGGATGTACCTTCCCAAGGTCTAGCCTCTCCTAATAACATGTCCAAAGTATATGAGATGAAGTTTCATCATCCTTACTTTTACGGAATAGCCATACACATTTATTACATTTACTCTGCTGCCAGAATTCCCAAGTTATAGTTGCCACATTATTTTTGAGCTTTCTACTTTAGCTTTTCCCCTGTCTCCTGCTTTACTTAATGTGCAAGTGGCAAGTACTGCTCTATTCAGCCATGTCTCAGTTTCAAATTTCAGATCGGCTGTCTGACAGTCTTCCATGTGTCCATGCAGGGCTTGCCAAAGACATTCCATTTTCCAAGGGCCGAACAGGTCATTTGACATACAACCTATAAGACTTTGTCCACTGTTTCTTCCACTCACGGATTCTCTAAAAGTCCCACAACTGAATTTCTTAGATGGCAGAAGGGAAGTGTACTTGTGTATCATAGAGTCAGAACCGACCCATAGCTGACCCACCAGCGGTTTTCAGACGCAGTTATTTGCATGGGAGGAGATTGCCCATCTTTCTCCCACTGGTGTGACCACTGTTATTGTTGTTGTTAAGTGCCATCGAGTCGCAGGCAACTCATAGCGACTCTATGAAGGAGAGTCCTTGACGCTTGGGTGCCTTTAATCCTCTCTCCAGGTTCATAGGGTTTCCGGAGGCAAACTGTTATGGAAGTGGATGCCACTCCTCCTTCCAAGCCGTATGACCACTAGTCCAAGTTATTATTAAATCATTCATTTAATCACTCAATTAAAAAATTCATAGCCTTTGTTTTAGGTGTTTAGGTTCAGTTAGGAATTAGACACATACTTCTGCTCTCATGGAACTCATATAGTTATTATTGTTGTTATGTGCAGTTGAGTTGCCTGGGACTCAGCGACCCTATGTGAAACAGCTCTGAATCCTGCTCTATCCTTTGCCAATCTTACTGACATTCCTACCCCACTACCCCAGTCACTGAATCAATCCATCTCACCGAGGGTCTCCCTCTCTTGCACTGTCCCTCCACCCTCCCAAGCATGACATCCCTCTCCTTATAACATGTTCAAAGTAGATCAGTCGAAGCTTCTTGCTTCCAAAGAGCAGCCTGGTTTTACCCTCTCTAGGAAAAACCTGTTTGCTCTCCTAGCTGTCCATGGTGTATTAACGTCAATAAATGAACATGCCCCTAATAACAAGAGTTATCACTGATAGATGACTGTTGATGACTCATGCTATGCTAAGTTCATGCAGTGAGCAACCCTATGAGAAAAAAAAACAACCCTAGTAATGTCTCCAAAGAACATTAAGGGTTAATTCCTGAGACTGTACCCAGATGAACAGATTCCTAGGAGCCCGGTTTTACCTATGGTTGCCTTTGCCACGGGACAGAACTTAAAGGCTGGCACATCTCCTGGAGTGCAGCCTTGACCTGGAGGGATTTCTCAGACTGTGCTCGCTACCACCACGGCAGATTTCCCATTCTCATTTTCCCTCCAGCCCCCTAAGGCCCCCCTTTCCAGTCCAGCCCCTCCCTCTGGGCCGCCTCCTCTTTGAGTCATTTCCCCTTCTTTGGCTCACTCTCAGGATCCCTTTCCCGCGGGACAGGAAGTACAGGAAGAGAGCAACCTGGCTTTAGGGACCAGGTGAGCGCTCTTCTCAGCCAGGAGAAGGAGCGCCTTCCATGAACTAATTTCCACTGGGAAATCGCGGGAATTCCTTCAGTGGCAGCCGGCCCGCCTCTCTTCGCCGCCGCCGGACCGGGTGGCCCAGCGTGGGAGGCGCCACACCCCTCCCGGTGTCTCCTGGGATGTGAGGAGAGAAGCAAAGGGCGTTGCGGGGCTGCGACGGGCTCTGCCTGGGCGGGCCTTGCGCGCAGGGGGCGGGGCCTCACCACTGGGAAGCTGCCTTACCAGAGAGGCTTGGCCTGACAGCGGTCCTGGGAGTGGGGAGAAGGAGAAAGGCTCCTCCCTCTGCGGGGCGTCTCATGTGGACTGGTGCGTGCTCTGCGAAGGAGGCTGCGGGTGAGTGGAGGGGTGTAGGAAAGTGCGTAACTCGGTAAGTGCATGTGCACGGGCACGCCTGTGCATGTGTGAAGCATGCATGTGTGAGGCGATCTCTCGGGGTGGGTGTGTGTAGGTGCGTGGAGCGTGTTCCTGAGGGAGGAACGCGTGCATGTGGTAGTTGCTAGTGAGCGTGCACGTGTGTGTGTGTATATATATATATCGGATGTGCATGTAGGGGGCGTGAACGTAGGGGTGATTGCGAGAGAATTTGCAGGCATGTGCCTGTTGCCTTTGCGTGCTTGGGTGCGTGTGCCCTGAGTGGTGCGTGCGTCGGGATACGTGCGCACGGTGGGGTGCATGCGCGGCGGCGACGACGACTGTGTGCATGTGCAGCGAGCCGGCGGGAGGCTAAGGATCGCAGGCTGGATGAAGCGGGGTGAGGAGTGTCGGACATAGGTAAAAACGCGGGGGAATCTTACCGAGGAAGCTCTCTCCACTATTCCTAACCTTAAAAAGAATTTTTCTTTTCAGGAGGGTACAGAAGCGTCTACTTGAAAATCTGAGGAAAATTAGTTGTGACCCTCACAGATTTAAAAAAAATAAAAAAATAAAAAAGGCGCGCAGCTTTTCTAGAAAACCCTACAGGGTTCTGAGACCCTAGATGTATGATTTCAAGGAAGTGGCCCCGAAGTGGTTTCTTTGATCTTTCAGGCTTTGGGTTCTGTAAGGAGAGAAACGGAACAGGTGACAAGTGTTGCTGGACGTGTTTGTGGACCTTGCCGAGGCTTGGTGGGGTTTTCAAACTAGAAATTCTCTTTTGGGAGATGGTGCCCCCCCCACCACCACCACACACACACTGTTTTTTATGAAACAAGCTCAGTACTATCAAAGGCACGCAGTTTGAATCTGATTGATGTTCGGTGGGAGAAGGATGGACAGTCTTCTCCCGTGCAATTAACTGCCTCTGCAAAAACCACTGGAGGGTCAGCTATGGGACGGTTCCGACTCGACGGTACACAACAACAATAACATATATATATATATATATATATATATATA